CTGCGCTATAAGCGAAATCGCGCTATATAGACGCGTGTTCAAGCGAGGGTCCGCTGTATTTAATTTTAATTCTTAACATTTTTTTCTATACAGAAGAGATAATCCACTGTCAAACTTGTCAGTTTGCTATTGTTCAGGATATATGTGCTTGGGACTAATATTATTTAATAGAATTTGTATTGCCTCCTGGTACTGAGAGTCCTTGTTTCAATGTGAGTTGTCATTTTAGTGTGAGTCATGTTACTTTCCCATCTGTTACAGTATTCTTTGATATTGTTACTATATTTTTAGTTTATTCCCGAAAAGCAATATAATGGATTAGATCAAATGCTCGGACAAAGTAGATCCCATTGCACTGGAGGGAGGCAGAGCTTTAGTGGTTAAGGCAGGATTCTGGATATTGGCATGGCTGAATTCTATTCCTGGCCCTACCACTGAGTTGCTTTAGGATATTGGGCAAATTATTTCTCCACTCTGTGCCTCAGTTTCTCTATCCATAAAATGAAGAAACCAATCTCACTGGGAGAGTGTTAGGCTTATTTGATTGTTTCTAATGGATGAAAAGCACTGAATGCATACAGAGTAGTACTATCTTGTTAAAATAAAAAAATACTGTCCGGAAGGACTGTTGTTAATAACTATATATTTTTAAGTCTTAAGGAAAACGGTAGTTGAGACTTACCTGAACACACTGATGAAACGTACATTTTAGTATCAGTATTATCTCTGTCTAACAATGTGTTTATTTGTGGGGTGAAAATCATTTTGAGGCTGGTTCACGAAATGCAGTGCCTGAGATTTCAGACTGCACTTTCACTCTGAAGGAGAGCTTCACCTCTGCAGCATTGCTAGTCTGCTTTGGCTTGGGGAGCCTTTAGAGCTCAGAGTTCAAAACCAGAGTCCCAACTCAGTTGTATAGCTCACTCTCCTTTCTAAATAACGTAAAGTATCAACCTCTTCTGCTGTGTTGCCTATAATGAGTCTTGTTGCTTCAAACTGCCAATGTCCAATTCCCAAAGTAAGAAATGTAATAGAATTATGAGTCACTGCGTAGTCATACAAGTTCTATTTAACCTACTGCATAGGCAATTAGATCTTCAAGAAATACTAGCTATTAGCTGGATTTGTTGTGCTTTTTATAAATTGTGCATATTACCAGAGAAGTATTACCTGTCCTAGGCCCTAATTCTGCAAAGGAAACCATCAAAAGTGAATGCAGTTCTACTGTAAGGGTGAACCCCATGAATCTCTTTGCAGGATCAGGGCCATAGTCTCTCTCTGATGTGAATTCTTAGGTGCTGACCTGCTGCCTACAAGGTATACATTTGCAAGCAAACAAAAGCATTCCATAGTATCAGTGCTTTTGTTTACAAAGGACAGAAGAAAATGGCATTATGTGGAGAAGAGTTAAATTTTAATCTGAAATAAGGAACGTAATGAGGGACAAGTTGAGAGATGATTTGAGGGTTCAGGATTTTATCAATGGTATTTTGTCTGTTTTTTCCCCCTCGAACAATATGCCATAGGACTATTTCAAAGCATATTTTAGAAGGTTACATATTTTTTTTCCCCTCAGAAATATTTTTTATTCTTTAAACATTTTCTATGTCTTGAAACAAGTGTTATTCACACT